AATATGTTATAAACTATATAAATAAACTAATAATACTATAAAATATACAATAATAATATAAATAATATAATAAAATTCAAGAGAATATATAATTACATTATATACTAAAGAAAACTGTCTGTAGATCTAGACGTTGATTAGTGTTTTATTCGTGATTTGATTGGATATATTATATCATGCGTGAAAAAACAATTTATGATCAGGTCGGGTGATTTTTTTTTTTCGGATAGATATATTATGCATTGTTGCAATTCGTGATCAGGTGATTTTGTTAATGAGTTAAATGATCGGGTCGGGTGATTTTTTTTTGGATAGATATATTATGCATTGTTGCAATTCGTGATCAGGTGATTTTTTTTAGATAGATATATTATGCATTATTGCAATTCGTGATCAGGTGATTTGATTAATGAGTTAATATGCGTTATAGGGTGTTCAATATTATAGTTCGTTCTATCAGTATGACCAGAAGTATTATTTTTATTATTACTCCTTGGTGGGTGGTTATTTTTGGTTCGGGCAGCCAGGTATCCAAATCTTCGAGGTAGTTGTCAATTATGACCTCCAAAGCTACTTCCGGGTCAACTTCAGGAACTTCATATGATTTACGGGTTGTGGCTGCGGCAGGTGATGAACTTTTTTACAAAACGTCTTGATATATGAAAGTGGTTGTGTTCTTTCTTTTATTCTGAACTTCTCCACAGTTATTATATTCTCCAATAATCTTAATATAAATTCCAGAGCCTCGGAGAACTGCTTTTCGTCAAGAGCATTAGAAAATTTTGGGTGTATTATTTGTACAACTATCTCATGCTGTTCCGTGGTAAAGTTTTAAAAAGCCAAGTGCACTTTCATCTAAGCGCTTTACATCCGGGCATTCAAGGATGGGGTGGCTTCTCCTTTGGCATCAGAGACACAAGGTTTTCTTAGAAAAAACCTTTCCTATGTATTTCTCAGAGGTGGGTTGCAAATCTTTTTCCTTGAAATTCGTCAGGCTTGTTATAATATCGTTAGGAGGTTGGAAGACGTTGTTACTATAGTCATATGAGGCACAGGTGATTTGTATTTGCTGGATAAGAGCCTTGGTCTGCGCAATCAGGTTTTCTACAGCAGCGGGTTGGTCAGGC